CCGTGAAAAAGCTATATCAAGATAACCAAGCTTATATTAAGGTTGGAAACCAAATTTCCAAGGGTTTCACCCAAACAAAGGGTGTCAAACAGGGCTCTTGCCTCTCCCCAACCCTATTTAAAATATATCTTGGTAATGCTTTAAAATATTGGATGAGAAAATGCAGCCCAATGGGCATATGGGTAAATGACACTCCTATATACACAATCCTCTTCGCAGACGACCAGGTAGTTCTTGCCGAGGACCTACAAGATATGACGTACATGATAAACAAACTAATAGACGAATTCAAAAAATGGGGATTAGAGGTTAATACCGAAAAGACACAATACATGAATATAGGAGGCATCGGTCAAGACATGGAAACAGAAAGCGGATTAATTAAAAACGTTGATCAGTACGAATATCTCGGAGTTACACTAAGCGAAGACGGAAGAGACGACAAAGATATAACAAGAAAAATAGGAAAAGGAAAAAACATGATAAAAACACTACATCCGATCCTGTGGAATAAAACTTTAACTAAGAAAACAAAGAAAAATATATATCAGGCTATGATTCAGCCGGTGCTGACGTATGGGTCAGAAGTGTGGGTCTTTAACAAGAATATGTCACAAAAACTCCTCTCAACGGAAATGATGTACTGGAGAAGATGTTCCGGGTTAACTTTGTTTGACCACATAAGAAATGAAAACATAAGAGAGAGAATGAAAGTAAAGAACACAATAATGGATACGATAGCCGAAAAACAATTAAAATGGTATGGACACCTGAGACGGATGAACGAAGAAAGGATACCACGAAAGGTTTGGAACTGGAGACCTACACAGAGAAATAAAAGGGGAAGGCCAAGAAAGAAATGGATATCCAATATTCATATAGAAATGGAAAATAGAGGTCTTCAAGAAGGAGACTGGGCCGATAAGAAATTATGGCGATTGGGATGCGAGAAGCGACAAAATTAGAGTTGCAAACACTCGCTATATATATATATATATATATATATATATTATATATATATATATATATATATATATATATATATATATATATATATATATATATATATTATATTTCGATATTTTCTTGTAACCGACATGTAGATGGTCATTTTTGTTCGTAAATTAATTGTAGGAGACCAAAGTAACTAGTTTAGTGTTTATACCACATTTCAGCCTGTTGTAGTTTCTGCTGAGTGTCTCGTTTCGATGTTCTTTTCCTAGCTATCATCGTCGTTAGTTATTTAAATTCTTTCCATTCTTTTATATCTATAATCCAGAATAGTATGTGTCCTTCTTCATATTTTATTCTTAAATATTCCGTTTTGTCAATGTTGATGGTGAATTCCCAATTTTAGTATTTTTCAGTCAACTTTCGGATTAAATAATCTAGATCTTCCTCATCGTTTGCAATAATCACTTGATCGTCTGCGAAAAAAAAATATTTATTATGTACTTGTGTATAAGTCCTATTCCCATCTCTGTGCATTTTCTCCTCTAGTTATTTAATGCTTCCTGAATATAAATTTTAAATAGAGTTGGAGATAAAGAATATCCTCGCCTCAAGCTTTTTGGGACAGAAAATGCGTCTAAAATTTTATTTTTCATTTTCTTCTTCTTCTCATGGCGCCATCTCCTTTCGAAGGTTGGCGATCCAAATGGCAATTGTGGTTTTGGAAACTGCTGCGCGAAATATTTCTGCGGATGAGCGATCGAACCATCTCCTTAGGTCTTTCAGCTATGAGTTCTGGCGTCTTCCTACTGATCTTTTGCCCTGCACTTTTCCTTCCAGTATAACTTGAAGAAATTCATATTTTTCGCCTCTCAACACATGACCCAAGTATTGCATTTTCCTCTCTTTGATTATTTTTAGTAAATCTTTTTGTTTACACATTTGACGAAATACCTCAACATTAGTAACTCTTTGTACACATGGAATTCTCAATATTCGTCTGTATATACATACTTATCAAAGGCATCTATTTTTTTTTCTATTTCAGAGTCCATTGTCCAACTTTCACAGCCATACAGTAAGAAAGAAAAAACGTTGCATGTAATCATTTGGATTCTAAGCTGCAGACTAAGGTCTGATCTTGTAAAAAATGTTTTCATGCTCATGAATGTTTTCCTTGCTTGTTCGATTCTTGATATTATTTCTTTTTTTGGATTGCACTGACTATTGATATTTGCTCCAAAATATATTATGGAATTTACCTGTTCCATCATTTGACCCTTGGCATACACGTGTACGTTTATTGGTGTCTTTAAAAATACTAAAATTTTCGTTTTCGTTAAAAAAACCTTTAGATGTAAGCCAAACATTTCGCTGTGGGGAACTACCGCATTTATTACATTTTGTAGTTCTTGTGCATTGCTTGCTATTAAGACAGTATCATCAGCATATCTGATGTTGTTTATCTTCTTCTTCTTCAGGTGCCATCTCCGCTACGGAGGTTGGCAATCATCATAGCTATCTTAATTTTTGAGGCAGTAGCTCTAAATAGTTGTTTTGAGCTGCATCCAAACCATTCTCTCAGGTTCTTCAGCCATGAAATTCGTCTTCTTCCGATGCTTCTTCTGCCATCTATTTTTCCTTGCATTATGAGTCGCAGGATGCCATACTTATCGGCCCGCATCACATGTCCGAGATACTGTAGCTTTCTTTCTTTAATTGTAAGTTCAATTTCCTTCTCTTTGCCTATTCTTCTCAGTATTTTATTGTTTGTAACTCTATCTACCCAGGAAACCCTCATAATTCTTCTATAGATCCACATTTCAAAGGCGTTAAGTCGTCTCATGGTATCTAGATTTAACGTCCATGATTCCGCTCCATAATATAGTACACTGTATACGTAACATTTTGTTAGGCGTACTTTAAGAGCTAATGTTAGATCTTTGCCACATAGGACCTTTTTCATTTTTATAAAATTAGAACGTGCTTTTTCGATTCTGACTTTGATTTCTGCCGTGTAGTCATTATTTTCTGTTATAAGTGTTCCTAGGTAAGTGTACTTTTTTACTCTTTCGATCTGCTGGCCCTCTACTATCAAGATTTCGTTAGTATTATAGTTGTTTTTACAAATTTTCATAAACTTAGTCTTTCTGACATTAAGAAAGAGTCCGTACTCCCTACTAAACATGACTATTTTGCTCATGAGTCTTTCCAGGTCTTGTAAACTATCGGCTATTATTACTGTATCATCTGCATATCTGATGTTGTTAATTAAGACTCCATTTACTCTTATGCCGACTGTTTCATCTTCCAGAGTTTCTCGAATTACCTCTTCAGAATAGGCGTTAAATAATAGAGGTGATAGAATGCAGCCTTGCCTGACTCCTCTCTTTATTTCCATTTCTTCAGATGTTTCTTTTTTGATTCTTACTATTGCTCGCTTATTGTAATAGAGGTGTGTTATTAGCCTTAAATCTCTTTCATCTAGGTTTTTATTTTTTAGAATTTCCAGGAGTCGATCATGTTTTACTTTATCAAACGCTTTATTGTAGTCTATAAAACAGACGTAAAGGGGACGGTTAACATCCAAACATCTCTGTGTCAGCACATTGAAGGAGAATAATGCCTCTCTGGTACCCATACCATTGCGGAACCCATATTGAGTGTCACTAATATCCAGCTCCAGTTTAGAGTGTATTCTGGCGTGGATAATTTTCAAGAGAATTTTCAAGGTATGTGACATTAAGCTTATGGTTCGATAGTCACTACACTCTTTGGCATTCACTTTCTTTGGCAAACACCAATGTGTTGTTGTGTGATGTTGTTTATGCCAATTCCGTTAATGTTAACTCTGCCTTGGACCTGATCTAATGCTTCTCTGAATATAATGAGTCCGAATATAAATTAAACAGAAGGGGCGATAAGACGCAACCCTGTCTCACTCTTCGTCGGATTTGTATATCTTCGGATGTTGTGTGTTCTATTTCAATTGTTGCCGTTTGGTGCCAGTATAGTTCTGAGATAATTCGCAAGTCTTGTTCGTCAACTCCAGTTGTTCTCAGAATTTCGATCATCTTTTGATGGTTAACACAGTAAAATGCTTTTTTATAGTCAATAAAACATAGATATACATCTATGCATCGTTGCGTTAACACATTTAAAGCAAACAGAGCCTCTCGTGTTTCCAATCCGTTTCGAAATCCGAATTAAGTGTCACTCATCTGGAACTCGCACTTGTAAATTCGTGTATGTATAATTCTGAGAAAAGTTTTAAGGACATGAGACATCAAGCTTAATATTCGATAATCATCGCATTGTGAGGAATTCGATCTTTTTGGTAATGCTACGAATGTTGATTTTAGCCAGTCTGTTGGTATTTTTCATTTTTCCGATACGTTTTGTATTTATGTATATGTTCGCTATAGCAATGATGCGTGTATTACTAAGGCCTATCTTCATCAATATTTCAAACCATCTTTTTAAGGGTACTGTATCATAGGCCTTCTCTAAGTCAACAAATTCTAAATGAGTCAGTCAATTCTAAATTTCTGGCTGATCTATTGTCTATAATTTGTTGAAGTACATATATATTGTCTACACACAAATATACTGATGTTTTAAGGCTGGTAACGGATCTCGGAGGCAGCGTGAGGTGCCGACCTTCACACTGTAATAAAACTGAGAAATATCCACAGTTTCCGACAAATAAGTCGAGGGTTCTAAGAGTAGGATTCAGCTCTGTTAGAAAATCCTACTCTAGCGTCCTCGAAGACATATGTGGCTTAATCACATGCGGGTTTCTGGTGCCTAAAATTGGAATAGGTCGGCTAGTGACAACCCATAAAAGTTATGGTTCTTAAAGAATAAGGGCTGAATCGACGTGCTAGCAACTTGTCATTTGTAAAACACTGTAGATAGACTAACAATGTCAATAATTCATCTCGGAATGCGGATAGAAAAAACGGCTCCTAATTATAATTTACTATAAATTAGTTTAATTATTTGTGAAATACGTGAAACTTGTTTTGCAACAAATTCTATAATAAAGAATGACCAGTTTAGCAGATTTAAATTTAAAAAAAATGGTAAGGCATGCAATAACTTACCTCTTTTACACATATTTTTCGTCCACCGTTAAATTTCACTATAAAATTATTGCTCTCTATTGCTATTACTATAAAGAGCAACGCAAAGAGCAATGAAACGAATCATGCTTGGAATATCACTAAGAGACAAGATTAGAAACACCGAGATAAGACGTAGAACGAAGATTAGGGATATTGTGGAAGAAATTACAAAAATGAAATGGCGCTGGGCAGGTCACGTAGCCCGATATAATGACAACAGGTGGACACCAGAGAATTCTAGAATGGAGACTAAGACCGACAACAAGAAGCATGAGAAGACCTCAAAAAAGATGGGTAGATAACATAAGAGCAGTGGCAGGCAAACAGTAGATTAGATTGACGCAAGATAGAGAAAGATGGAAGCAATTGGGGGAGACCTACATTCAGGAGTGGATGGAAAATGGTTGACAAAGAGATAAAATTATTAGTTTAAAGAGAACTAGTGATGACGATGATTAAGTGACTTATTCTGTATTTTCTATAAATAGAGACCTTCATTTGTATTTAGATTGATAAACTACAAGGATTTTCTTTTACATTTTAAGTAAAATATCTGGAATCTAGAGGATGAAAAAATTTTTCTCGGGTAAGAAAATTATTCGTAGGAGTATTACGACTAAATACTTGTGAAATATACATATTGTCATAAGTTTTAAGACATTTATTAGAAATATATTATAAATAAAACTTTTCAAAGTTATCGACCTTTTGAACAATTAGTTATATTCTTTTCATTATTTATTTATATCATTGTTACAAGCGCTACCGCCAAATTTTACTGAGTGGTGCATTCATCACTTTTTCAATTGATGTTAAAAACAAATTGTGACAATATTATGTCGGCATTATATTTTTAAGGTTAACAGAAATATATTATTTTAATTTTTAATAACCTTGAAAAATTCGTTAAAAGCGTTGCTTCTTTTGAGCTTTGACCACAACTATATTTTATGAAGAGACGGTAAAATCAAAAAATCAATTATTAATTTGACCATTTACATACAAAGATCTTTGAAATTTGCCAAAACTATTGAACTGAAAACACATGAATAGCACGAAAGCAAAATAAAATAGAAATCCTTGTAAATAACACAAATACTAGCAATTTCATAATAGAGAGTTATGTTTTTAGTGCCTGTAAAAAGAAAATAAGGAATTATATGCATATTAATTTTGCTTTTTAGTTACAATAAATGTTAGTCTCCACTGCTCTTCAACTACCAGAGTGTTTCAACATGATCTGCAAATATAATGTTTTCCTTATACTTTTATATTTTTATAATTTTCTATATCACCGTGCAATGTTTTCCTTTTTGATCAATGTTCATGTATAATGACGATCATAATTTGATAACTTAATAATTTGTAAGATTAAGCCAAGCTACTAGATGCATTTATCATATGTTCAGTTTTTTGTTTTTTTTTTGTGACGTAAGAAATACAATTACGTTAAAGACCTATAGTAGTTAGAGCTTAATTTCAGTAGAAGCCCAAAAACCTCCGATTCTATTTTAAATACAAATAGTGTCATTAAATTATATCAGCAACATTTATTTATTTATTTATTTATTTATTTACGGACTTGTCATTACGATAACAACACATCAAACAACTACACAATATTTAGAAGTACAAATAACTATAATAAACATATATAAAAGTCACAAAATATTATAGGCGTAGGGTGCTTTATAAATAGGCACTATGAATGCAATTTCTATTTTAATTATGTGTACAGCCAAATAAATCTATATCAGGTATAATATTAAATTCATTACAAATTCTAGTTAAAGATAACTGTTGGCTATAGTATATGATGGCATTTAATCTGAAAAGTATTGTCTATTCGCTTAGCTAGGGCATATTTTGACAGGCTCATTGTCGGAAACCTACAACACAACAATTCCTACTTCTCAGTATTAATAGCTCAAGTATACTACTATTGCAGACTGCTTTCTTTGAAAAAAAGAAGAATAATTATAAATAGTGGAAGTGTATACTAAACCCATCAAATTTTCCCTGTATATTTAAAATATAATATTTGAATTGTTACAATTTAAAATATTGTAGTAAATATTTGTATTATTCGCGTTGTTTATTTAATTTAATATAGTTTTATTGTTTTATTATCTTTGTTTAATTCTTTTGTTAGTTCTATTCAGTTAATTAGTTAGTTATATTTTAAATTTTATTATTATGAATAGTCAAAGTTTTCTATTTGTTCCATCAGCTAATGCGTTGGTAAGTTTTGCTTAATAAATATGATAAAATGTTTTTTAAAAGTTAATATTTTTAGATTAGTTGTTTCTAATTTAACATAAACTTGTTTATACTTACATGGAGGTTTTTGTTGTTTGTTTGGGTTTATATGACTGCAGACTGCGGCCAGGACACTGAATTAATTCACCATATGTGGAAGATTTTAACATCCTCAAATACTAATGAGCAAAAATTACTATTAAACCACGAATTTGCCTAGTCAAATTACTAATATTTGCTTTTAGCATATGGAAGTACACTTATTTTGTAAGATAATAAAACAACAGTTTATGTTAATGCTATCCAATGAACTGTTAATCTTTAATCATTGATTCCATCCTAGTCACAACATAACATAAGGAACTTGCTGTGTCTTATTTAACCTCACTTTTTTTATTTTGTACAATAAATAATTTTATTATTTGTTATCAATACATTATACGGTGTAAATAAATAAATATTGATTGTCGGCAAAGTTCTATTTTATATATTCTATTTTATTTTTGTATTTACTTTTGTTTACATTAATATTGACTAAGAGCACGTATGCTTGGTTGAATAGTAATTTCCAGCCACTTCGAGTCTGTCAAAAAGTAACTAACTTCGCAAAAAAATAATTACTAAAATCACTAGACAGTTCGGACTGGGAATAGCGAACCGGGTATATCTGAACTACGGGTAGCATTTGTAGATACCATAAAATTCACAGAGCTTAGGGCAATATATTAAATTCTTACATAATTTCTTTAAAAACCATGGTGGAAATGAAAGGAATAAATTCGTTATTTCGTAAACCGGAGACTTTAAGGAAAAATCCTGAAACCCGTCGATTTTTATTTTTAAATAAGCTATTCGTAAGAATACATTTTTATTTTTGACGTCATCTATGTGAGCGTGATGACGTCATTGCTAAAATTTTTAAATAGAAAAGGGGGTATTGTAATACATCATGTGAAAGGTCTTTTTAATACCTATTCAGCTATATCAATATATCTAAGTAATTAAAGTTTGTAATTGTTCATGTAAATAATCATATGGTAGATATCATCTACCATATGATATCTGTTTTTTGCATTCAGTGATGTTAGTTGCGTTATTATGTTTTTTCGTTTTGTTATAAGATACTTTATATTGCTTAATTGAGTTTTGTCATTCTGTGTTTCACCATGGTAAAGATCTATGTTTACTCAATATTTTAGTATTTCCCATACGTGTTTTTACCGCGTATATGATAATATTAGTAAAAATATTTAGAGTTGTCAAAACTGATGTCTAGTGGTTCTATGGACTCAGCGTTTATTTCTATGACCTCAGCGTATATACCAATTATCTTTTTTTTACGTTTAATTTTCGGACTAGTTGGTAATCAGAGATAATGTTATCAGAAAATACAGATACTTTTATTGGGAAATGGTTGCTTTTACATAAAAAGGCTAGAGGATCCGAGTTAAGTGCGATTGAATGACATATCACAAATTGATGGATCGATTACCGATGTGTTCCCATTAGGTACATTAAATCTGGTTGGTCCTCCATCATTGAGAATGTTTAAATTTTCTATTCTACTAGTCTTCGATTAGTATGCCTTTGGTATTAAAATTTGTTTAGTCCACATTGGGTTGTATGTACTAAAATGTCCTAATATTAGCCTAAGCATGGGTATTTGTGAGATGATTGCTTTTAAGTCGGTTATGGAGAGGCCTGCCTTTGGGAAAACATAAATACAACATATATTACAGTTAAAGCATTGGGAAACTTTATCTGAGACGGCTAAAGCTAGGATGTCTGTTCTAAGAGGAATTGTTTGTGCTTTTAAGGTGTTTTTAATATAAATAACCACTCTACCACTTGCCTCTTCCTAATTTTTCTTGCTTTCTATTTTTCGCCTGCAGTTTTGTTGGGTGGTTTGGGTAGCTCGACAGAACTATTGCCAGTCCCAAGTCCGGATAAATGAGGAGGATGACAACGAATTTAGGGAAAATGCATATTCGCATCAATATTTGTCTCGAGTCAGAAAGGGTCAAATTATACTAGATGACTACCTGATTATTTACAGTGGTATCGCGAAAGAAACCAGAGCCAAAATAGGAGTCGCCCTGTTAGTAAACAGAAACTTTTTATACCAAGTACAAGAATGTATTGTATCATTGAGAAGATAGTAAGAATAGTAAGTGTAAAAGTAAAACTGGATGTTAAAACTCTGAATGTGATAACAATCGATGCACCAGAGAACAACAGAGATACCACCACAAGGGAAAACTTCTACGTACACCTACAGACTGTAATAAACGACATCCCAAATAATGAATATATAATCATTATTGGTGATTTTTACGCTTGTGTTGGCAATGATATAGTTCCAGAAATAAAACAACGATATATTAAAAATATTAAAAATGAGAATGGAGATCTCCTTCTGACGGACCTCTGCAGCATAAACAAGATAAGTATTAATAACACGTTTTTTTTCTTACAAAGAACAATACAAATACACTTTTAAAAACGGTAGAAAACAGAGATATATAATATACTATATTCGGTCGAATAGAGAGTTAAAGCCCTCTCAAATCTTGGATGTAAGAGCACTAACATTAACAGAATTAGAAAGCGATCATAAATTGGTATTGTGAAAAATCCAAACGAAAATAAACATATTTGATAACACAATACCAGAATACACTGCAAAGATAAAAATCGAA